GGCCTTGTGCCCTGTGCCATGTGTTCTAACGGATCCCTGGGCGATATTTGATTCCCGGCTCGGCAGGCGTCCCAAGCTCCATCCCGAAGCGATATCGAGAGATTGCATCTCGGGCAGATAAGCGGTCCACGCCTACCTCTGGAAGATATCGAAACAGATTTCTAATCAACAAGGCTTCCAGCCCTGTCCAGTCCAGTCCACTCACAGCACAGCCACCATCTTCCATCGTTCGGCTTGACAGACAGCTCCAGTTGCTGCTGACGGAGCCAAGGGGGGATTTTATCTAGGCCCCGCAGATGGAGCGCTGACACAAATGCAAGGTGACGGCGTGGCCGACGGGGCAGGCATCGGCCCCTCCCAACAACACATAGCGGGTCCTTTGAAGCACCCGAGTCCTGGCTGCTTTCGACGCTGTCACCGGTTAACGCCGTACCATCCGCGAGGGAAAGAATGAGGAAAAACCCACCCAGTAACAGGGGGGTTGAAACTGGAGATGGCAGGGGTCGTGGTGACTTGGGGGGATGTCACGACTTCAAGAATTTCTCGTCCTTTAAAAGCTTTTCTCGATTTCTCTCCTTCTTTCACCAACTTCAACAATGGCAGTGACTTTTATGCCAGCACGTGACTCCCCTTTCGCCGCCCCTGTGATCTCCAGTTTTAACCCCCTATTGGGAGGTGGGTTTTTCCTCTTTATTACCCTCGCAGATGGTACTCGCCGGGAAGGCTTGCTCGCGGACCCTGTCGGGGTTTCGGTTTCAACCCCACGCTTTTGTAACCTGGCCCGCCGTTGCCCGCTTCTATCCGCCCGGACACCCCCGGAGGGAACGAAGGTAACGTTTCTAGAAGCAATCCAAGAGGGTCGTTTCTCAAGCCCCCTTCATTTCCCTGCCCTCGGCGTCTCGGGGCTCGGCGCATGGCACCCATGACGGCGGCGAGGACGACGGTGATGATGGACATGACGGATGGCTCGGAGGGAGCTCCCCAGAGACAAGTCTGTCTCTGTCTCTCATGCGCAAGCCTTTCAATGCTGACTTGCTAGCGTTGCTTACTAGCCCATCTGTTTCTTGGCGGGCAGGATCCCAGCGGTCTCGCAATAGGGTTTTGCTGGTGTTTGCTACCCCAAGTAGGTGTGGCAAATCTCCGGTCGGCTATCGCGCTTAGACGACGAGGTTGGATCATCACTAGGAGACGCATACACACTTACGCACATGGGCAGCCACCGCCCGAGATAGCCAGGGAAGATTAGTCTCAGCGACTTTTACCTCTGCCTCGCGCCTTGCCCTTGCGTCGTCCAGGACAGCACAACTAGCGACCGTTCCCGTGAAGAGCGGGCGCATCTGGCAGACCAAGTGCGTGCGTGTGTGTCACCGCCCATAACCCGAACGCTGCACACGGAGAGGAAACCGCCCAGGCGGGAAGAGACCGACCGACCGAGCGCCACTGTGCGTGCGATCCCCTCGCTTCAAAGCAAGGTGCGCTGGCCCGCATGTGAGGGAGGGCGGCCATCGATCAAATCAAACTCACTAGCGCACGGTGTGACTAGAAGGTGCGTGCCAAAATGGAGATGCCAGACCAAGCCTGCCTGCCCATCCTGTCATGCATTCTCCCCAGGCGGCTTCACGTTGAGGACGGAGAGTGCCCACTAACTCGCAACGGCGACGTCGGAAAGCCCACATAATTACGTGCCGCAAGAAAGCAGCTATTGATGCGGGACGGTTGCACACACCGCCAGATGGTGGATTTTGGAGGGGAGCTCAAGCATCGTTTGTCGCACCAAGAAGGCGATATGGTGCTGAAGGTGCGTTATTTGTTGTTGGTTTCTTTGCTTTTCCTTCGGATTTCTTTCGGATTTCTTTTGGTTTCGCCGTTTTCTTCTGTCGCCTTGGTATCCTGCCGCCTCCTTTCCCCTTCCCCTTTTCCCCATTTGGCACAAATCTCCGCCTGATTGGCGTGTTTTTATCTTGCAACTCGTTTATCCTCGTCCTCCACAGATGACTCGCTCCCCTTTTGCCTGTCATCTCAGAACCCCACCTCCAATCAAGCGCGCTCTGTCTTTCTCCCCACCACCAGATCACCAGACATCATCACTGTGCCGTCGAAACAGCCATGACTTGAGTGGAGTCCCGTGCGACTCTTGGTTGGGCGGGAAGGAGTCGCACATGGCAGAGATTTCCAATTTTGTGCGGTGCTTCCCTTTGTCCTGGCTGCTGTTGCGCCAGTGCGCCAATCTGGGTCCATTTGTCGTTTCTTGGCCTCGTGTCTCGGGTGGCCCACCACCTGCACCGGCGGAACAGTTCCAGAAGCCGCAGGGGTGGGTGAGCGATGAGCCACTGACGAGCCAAAGTTAAACACTGGCGCTCCGAGAAGAGCCAGGCCGAAAGCAGACAGGAGCTGGGAAAAAGCATTGCGAGCTTACCAGGAATGGCAATATGCCTCAATGGGCCGCCGATATTGGGACAGGCACGCCTCCTGCCTCCTGAGGGCCCAATTGATTGCAGGGTCCCGGTCGCATCGTCGAATCGTTTGGGCTAATAGGCCGCCGTCGAAATTGAATTGTTTGTCTGTTTGGTGCCGGGTTCAGCAGCAAGACAGGGTCACACAACCGGGCACGTAGGAGCAGGCGGCTGGGCAGGCATGTCAGCCTGCCAGCTTGCAAGCTTGCCAGCTTGCCAGCTTGCCAGCTTGCCAGCTCTGCGAGAGTGGCTTCAGCCCCCCTCCCCTCCCTCGCGCGCGTGCGCCGAAAAAGGCCGGAGTGTGACAGCATGCGCGCATCCCTGGTGGGCGGAACCCACCCATGCGAACCTGCAACATGGGCGTCGCCGAGCGGCGTCGTGGGTGGCCGGAAGGCTCCACATGGAGCAATCCCACAGCGTGGCCGGCAGGGTCCACCACCCAAAGCAGGCTGGTCTGATGGCAAAGATCCCTGAAAGCCACGCGCCGATCTCGTGAGCTGCTGTGAGACCTTCTGCCACATTTTCACCCCTCCCTTATTCCCTCTCCCAAGCAGGGGCGCGCACAAGTCGCGCTGCCTCCAGTCCACCATGCAGCCCGTCATTTCCCCACCGCCGCCTGGCCTGTGGAAGCCAGCTGATGACACGCCCAAACTGGGTGGAGGGATTGACAGCGACTGGACAGGTCACCTCAAATGTCACGCCCCCCCCCCCCTTTTTTTTTTTTGCAGTGGGCACGTTTGTCACAGAATGCGTGCTTTCGTCCTTTAACTCCAACCTGGCTGTAGCCCCAATCCAAATCCAAATCCTGGGCAAGGTGGCTGCGGCGCGGTTCGCGGTCATGAGCGACTGCTCCTCCCAAGTCCAAGTGGCATCCGCCCCGTTCATACATACGGTATGCCCGTGCTCGCTGTATTTTTATACCTGTGGTTGCCGCCCGCGGCAGCTGTGCCCGCCGCCGCTGTCGTCTTTTAATTTCGTTTGTCTGCCCGGCTCTCCTTCCATGGATGGGACTCCGCCCACCCCTCCACCTGATAGGGCCTAATCAAGATGCCATCAGTTTCACGGCACGTGGCAGCCACACTGCCAAAAAGTGGTCCCGCTAGCTCCTAGCCGGCTGGTTCTCCCTCTGGATGGATGCCCATGCGCCAGGCGGCGCGGTCCCAACCACACTACTGGCGTGCCCTGTCGCGTGTGTGTTGCCTGCCCGTCCCATCACCTCGTCTCCTGCATAGCTTGGGCCGAAGCCGGCGCCCCATTCGTCCGTCGCAGCTAAGCAGCTCCCTTGAGCTCACTCCATGTGCTGGCCTTCTTTTCCCCGGCCAGCCAGCCGCGTGCGCTTCGTCATGGAGCCTGGCCGACGCCCTTCTAGTTGGGTCCGGGGCCCTGTGTCGTCTCCCGCTCGCTCCAGGCTGGCGGCAACGTGTCACAGCCTGACGTGCATCCATACGTCTGGTGTCTGGCCACGCGCGCTAGATTGCTGGAATTTGTGGTCGGTCGGTGCTGGCCGAGTTGTGCGCACAACCTGCCAGCAAGCAATTCCGCTTCGTTTTTTCCCCCTTCTTGTTTGGCACCTTCTCCCTCCCCTTAGAAGCCAGACACCCACACACCCACACACCCACACAGTTACATCCAGATACATACAAACACGCCCAACGACAAGGTCTAGCGCTGGACAAAAACTCCACCATCTATGAATAGGGAAATTTTGGGAGAGACCTGACTTGGGGAGCAGTCCGGCTGTTGAGGGCCCCTGGTCGGGCGGGCAGGTGCAGGTGCAGGCGCAGGCGCAGGGCGCGGTGGGGTGGTGCTGCTGCTACCAGCCAGCCTGGGCTCAGGTTGTCGCCGCCAGCCTACCAGGCCAGCTGCTGCCCTCCCCACCCCTCCCCACTCGTGCTTGCGTCTAGGTACCAGCACCTCAACGGGCCTTGGCCCTGCCCCCCCTCCTCCGCCGAGGTACCGTGGTACCGCTACATGCTGCCTGGGTGGAGGCGGTAGCTGACCGACAAACTCTCCGACCTTTATTTTGTATTTTATTATTACCATTATTTTTCGCCATTTTCACCTTTTTTATTTTTTTCTTCTTTTTTTATTTTTTTATCCTCCTTCTCTCCTTCCATTCAGGCCCAAAAGCACTGGCCGGGGGTGGCAGGTCTGCCAGTCGTCGCAGCCCACCTTTTTATTTCTTCACAAGGGCGGCTCTTGTTCTGGGCTTCCATCCATTCCCACCTTCCCCCCCTTATTATTATTTGAATCAACTTGGCTGCCGTCCCGCGCTCACCCCCCACACCCAATTCGACGGTTCAACTAACAGCGCTTTCCTCTGCCTGATGCTGGTAGATGGCCACCGCCTCTCACTACCCGTCCTACACAGCTCAGTCGCAACAGGCCGACGCCGACGCCGACGCAGCCGCAGCTTCCCAGCTACAACAACACAACTACAAACACCACAGCAACAAGCTTTCCGCGACCCAATTCGAAGCCGCTACCCCGTCTCCCACGCCCTCCTCGACCAGTCCGACGAGCGCCGCGCACAGGAATCAGCAGAGCGTGCCATTTGTCAAGGTGCAAAAGGCCGGGGGCATATTCTCGTATGCCGCCGCGGCCATCGACAGGACCTTTTCTGACCCCAAGATCCGGCATCGCCAGTCGGCGAGCCGCCTCTCCGTCGGGCCCGACCTGCCCTCCTCGGTCGCCCAGTCCAGCCCCGACGGCACCCCACGCAACCGAGCGTCGGCCCTCCTGTCAGGCTCGCCAGCGTCGTCGTCGTCGACGCTGCAGAACGCCCTGGCGTCCGACGCCAGCCTGCTCAGGACCCCTCCCTCGCTGCCCTACGCTGCCACCGACCCGGGCCGTCCGCTCCCCATCCACCTGCCCTCCGCCAGCAAAATGCATCAAACATCGTCGAGATTATTACGAATGACGGATGACGACCGTCCATTCACAAAGGTTCGCATCCTGCCCACCCAATTGACCCCCCAAAATCCAAAACCCGCTTCCCCTCCCGCACCGAACTGCCTTGCGGAACACCATGACTCGCGCATCTGTCTGCACTTGCCAATGACGTTCTCTTGTCGACATTTTGTCCTTCGCTCTCGGTAGAGTCTCCGCGGAGAGCTTGAGGGCGTTTACACCTTTCCTTTTGGTGTTCCTGTCTCGTCGCTAACCACGCACACACGTCGGTAATTCCAGGACTTCAAGGACCTGTTTAGCACACTCGTCGTTAGCCTCCTTCCGCTATCTGCCCACCGTGTGCGCTTGACCAAGGTCGAGCACACGTTCCTGTCCGAGGATGCGATCAACAACCTCGGGTCGCTCAAATTCTCCCAGTCCAACCGCATGCCTGATCCCAAGGACCCGTCCAGGATCGTGACCACGACCACGACAACGACCTTTTCCATGGCCAAGGATATGGCCCGCTCCATATGTCAGCGCTTCCTGGAAGCCCGCTTCATCGAGTCAGCCGACGGGAAGTACCAGCAGGTTTACACAATGAAGGGCTCCGTGTGGCAGCTCACGCCCAAGGGAATCTGCATCTTGGACCGCTTCTGCTCGAGGAATGGCATCCAGCAGAAGCAGGTCGGCGAGCTGATAGGGACCTCTCTGGCCCAGCTGGTGATTCTCGAGAGGGACGGCCAGACAGACAAGCTGGTGACGGATCGCGGCACCATCGAAGTTATCTTTAGGAGATTCATTGGCGCCAACGGCCCCAACGTGAAGAACAGCGTGAGCTCGGCTGATTCGGACTCTCTGAGCGATTACCGTGACGGCTTGACGGGCGTGAAGATGGCTGCGGAGCGCAAGCTTGCCGGCAAGACGTACAAGGACACGTTTACTGGCAAGTCGGCCACAGATTGGCTGATGGACTGCTGCACCACGGTTGACCGGCGCGAGACGGTCGAGATCGCGTCGCTGTTTGTCGAGTACGACCTGATAGAGGCGGTCCAGCAAGATCGCTCCTACATACAACAGTTCCCCGTCTGCCACCAGTTCCAGCCAACAAAACACGCCGTCTACCAGCTGACCACCAAGGGCAAGGACCTCATCAACGGCGCGTCAATAAGGGGCCGCTCATCCGAGAGCGACACGGCGCAAGGCAGCCGGTCGGGCATCGCTCGGGACTCTAACACGCAGCGCCTCGAGAAGATTCTCAATGACGCGGCCCTGCGCCTGCTGTTCCGCGAGAACCTGCGCGAGACACACTGCGAGGAGAACCTCTCGTTCTTTCTCGACGTCGACGAGTTTGTGCGGAGCTGCCGCCAGGGCATACGGGCGGCCCAGAAGAGCCCCAACCCCAGCTCCATGGACGGCATAAAGGAGATAATGGCGCAGGCGTACGGCATATACAACGCCTTCCTGGCACCTGGGTCGCCGTGTGAGCTGAACATCGACCACCAGTTGAGGAACAACCTGGCGACGCGCATGACCAAGGCCGTGGGCCAGGACGTGGCCATGATCGAGACCCTGCATGAGGTCACGGCTCTTTTTGAGGACGCCCAGACGGCCGTGTTCAAGCTAATGGCCAGCGTAAGCATTCTTACCCCCCTGGCTATCCTGGACTAGAGTGTTGAGCCCCCCCAACGGTCTCGGGTGGGTTGCTGAGAGCAGAAGATTGACATACATATTCTCTTGTGGAACTACAGGACTCGGTTCCGAAATTCCTTCGCAGCGCTAAATACGAACAGACGCTAAAGAACTACGATTTCGATTCGATTGCAGTCGCCAGCCATTCGCAGGGTCGCGTTCCGGAACGCAGCCAGAGCAGGTCAACGCGCAAATGAGCAAATAGGACAAGACAGATGAAAAACAAGCAAGACGAGCAAATAGGCCACCATGGAAAATCAACAACTGGTCGCCTTGGCTGCCCTAGCCCTCCCCAACCACGACATACCGAGACACGCTGCATTTCCCACGCATGAAAACACGGACGCGAGGAATTTGGTCATCCTGATGGACTAGCATTGCTGGAACGCCCGCCTCGCCCGATAATGAACCCAGATCTTTAGATGTGGGCGAGCTGAGACTCGTCTTCCCGCCCACCGGCTCACCGTCATTTCCAGCATACCCGACGAGAGATTTGAGTTGGACATCCGGCCAGCTGGTCGGCCTGGCCTCTTTTTTCTTCTTCTCGTTCCGTCCCCCTCATCATCGCGCCTAGGGTTGTTCTGCATGCGTGCGACTTTCTGCTGCTGCTGCTACTGCTACTACTACTACTACTAACCCATATGATATCACATCTTCTCTTTTGCTCCTTTCGAGCTTGTGTTCTTTTCTTTAACGGCCCACTCTATATCTCGTCTCCCCTTGAAGTGTTCCAACTGGGGGCCCTCTTATGTTTCTCTCAATATCAGCATTCGAACGGGCTGTATTAATTCTTTCGGGCCTGTTTATCATTGCTTCTTACCTCCGGCCGTTCTCTTTCCCGCATTTTCTTATTTATTACTGCTTACTTACAGGAACGGTGGCGTTTTAGGGGAAAATTGCTTGGAGCATAGAGAAAACATTTCGCAGGCGGCCAGTTTGATATTCCCCACACCCATAGGGTTTCCCCCTTTGGTTCGTTTTCTTTCTTCGCTCGACTTGTACGCATGTGGACTCGGCCCGAATTCCGCGTCTCGGGTTATTAGGCTACCAAAGGGGTTCGATCTGGAGGGAGAGCAGGCCGCACAGTCAGCGTAGGGATTGGAATTTGAGTTGAGTGCTAGGCCGTTTGCTAGACGGGCCTAGAGCCCAGGCTCTATTTCGGAGCACTGCTAGGCGGGCATATATGTATGCCAGCAACATGGGACGGGGTCGCGAACGAGTCAAGGTGTACATATCAAATCGCTCTCATCAGGGTCAGGCTAGGCTTGCCGACTCCGCCATAGTGGGTGGTATCGAGCTGAGGCCTGGCTGTGGGCATCGAACAGAGACGAGAACAGCGACAATCAGCAGGGGAGGGTGTATGTACTCGAAAACATTGGTCTCGTCTGCGATCTGCGATCTTGATCTTCCCCTCTATCCTCGGAAGGGAGGTAGCGGAGGCCAGGAATGTGTTGATTTGATGATGTTTTGGCACCCAGGGGCAAAGTGGCCGCACCAAGAATGGGCGTGGTTGACACTTGGGCATTCCAGGCTCGATGGCGACATCACCGATTCCTGATAGGAGAGCCTCGGGGTTAGATGTCAACACACACTTGGCTGGACATGGGCGCCTGCCTCGGGTAGATAGATCACCTGCCCGCGCGGGGAAGAGTACGGGGCCTGTTCGGCAGATGCGGCTAGGCCGGGCCTTTGCCATCCCTTGGTTGACTAGATGGAGTGGCAGTAACTAGACGGCCCAGAGGAGATTCCGTCCATAAAAGATGGCATGCCCCCCCGTCCGTCTTTCCGGGTTCTGAACCGAGGCCGACCTCCTCCCCCAGCCCCTAATCAACCGACCTTTTGACACTCATTTTTAATCCGTCACTCCTTTATTGTCTTCTAGTCGCTCGTTCCAGGACAAGAGTCACCAACCAGTCAACACCTGCACCGTCCTGTCTTGGTCTACCTCATCATCCCCCCTTACTTTTCTCCCTTGCCATCCTGTCCCATCCCCTTTAGTCCATCTATTAGTGACCAAGCTTTTGGCGATCAAGAAACAACACACTGACTGAGAAACGAAACGACCTAACCGCAACGATAATAACGACCTCTATTTTGGCAACAGTGACGGCGTTATAGGACAACGGAAACTAGCAACAGAAAGAAAGCAAACAAGATGCCCTCCAAGCATATCCTCCTCGCCGCCGCCGCCGCCGCCCTCGCGGTCGCCCCCGCCGCCGTGCTGGCGCAGACCTTCAACAACGTCAACGACATTGCCAACTCCAACTCCAACTCCAACAACGTCGACGTGTCGGTTGGCCTGGGCGGCGGCCCCGTGGTGGCGGTGCCGCCGACCACGCTGTCGACCCGCACCGTGACGGCGCCCACGTACATGGCCAACTCGACCAGCATGACGGTCACCACGACCGTCGTCACGGCCTGGAGCACCTACTGCCCGGAGCCGACGGTGCTCTGGTTCGAGAAGGAGCGCTACGTGGTCACCAAGCCGACCATGCTGACGTACAAGAACTGCCCCTGCACCATCACGACTGTACGTTTTCTCTCTCTCTCTCTCTCTCTCTCT